ATGTCTTCATATATTTACTATGTTGGGGGATTAATAATAATAATAATAATAATAATAATGTTAAAGTAATAATAATAATAATAATAATAATATAAAAGATGGTAATCATCTAGAGGAAAAGTTCTGATGCAGTAATAATAATAATGTTAAAGTAATATAATAATATGTAATAATAATAATAATATAAAATATGGTAATCATCTAGAGGAAAAGTTCTGATGCAGTCATGATGTCTTCATATATTTACTATGTTGGGGGATTAATACTACTACTACTACTACTACTACTACTACTAATAATAATAATAATATTAAAGTAATATAATAATATGTAATAATAATATAATAATATAATAATATATGTAATAATAATATAAAATATGGTAATCATTTACTATGTTAGAGGATTAATACTACTACTACTAATAATAATGTTAAAGTAATATAATAATATGTAATAATAATAATAATAATAATAATATAAAATATGGTAATCATCTAGAGGAAAAGTTATGATGCAGTCATGATGTCTTCATATATTTACTATGTTGGGGGATTAATACTACTACTACTACTACTACTAATAATAATATTAAAGTAATATAATAATATGTAATAATAATATAATAATATAATAATATATGTAATAATAATATAAAATATGGTAATCATTTACTATGTTAGAGGATTAATACTACTACTAATAATAATAATGTTAAAGTAATATAATAATATGTAATAATAATAATAATATAAAATATGGTAATCATCTAGAGGAAAAGTTATGATGCAGTCATGATGTCTTCATACATTTACTATGTTGGGGGATTAATACTACTACTACTACTACTAATAATAATATTAAAGTAATATAATAATATGTAATAATAATATAATAATATATATAATAATAATATAAAATATGGTAATCATTTACTATGTTAGGGGATTAATACTACTACTACTAATAATAATGTTAAAGTAATATAATAATATGTAATAATAATAATAATAATATAAAATATGGTAATCATCTAGAGGAAAAGTTCTGATGCGGTCAAGATGTCTTCATATATTTACTATGTTGGGGGATTAATACTACTACTACTACTACTACTATTAATAATAATGTTAAAGTAATATAATAATATGTAATAATAATGATAATATAATAATAATAATAATAATAATAATATAAAATATGGTAATCATTTACTATGTTAGAGGATTAATACTACTACTACTAATAATAATGTTAAAGTAATATAATAATATGTAATAATAATAATAATAATATAAAATATGGTAATCATCTAGAGGAAAAGTTCTGATGCGGTCAAGATGTCTTCATATATTTACTATGTTGGGGGATTCATACTACTACTACTACTACTACTACTAATAATAATAATAATAAAGTAATATAATAATATGTAATAATAATATAATAATATAATAATATATATATATAATAATAATATAAAATATGGTAATCATTTACTATGTTAGAGGATTAATACTACTACTACTAATAATAATGTTAAAGTAATATAATAATACATAATAATAATAATATAAAATATGGTAATCATCTAGAGGAAAGGTTCTGATTCAGTCAAGATGTCTTCATACATTACTATGTTGGGGGATTCATACTACTACTACTATTAATAATAATGTTAAAGTAATATAATAATATGTAATAATAATGATAATAATATAATAATAATAATATAAAATAGGGTAATCATTTACTATGTTGGGGGATTAACACTACTACTACTACTACTACTAGTAATAATAATAATGTTAAAGTAATATAATAATATGTAATAATATTAATAATAATAATATAAAATATGGTAATCATCTAGAGGAAAAGTTCTGATGTGGTTAAGATGTCTTCATACATTTACTACATTGGGGGATTAATAATAATAATAATAATAATAATAATAATGTTAAAGTAATAATAATATGTAATAATAATAATAATATAAAATATGGTAATCATCTATTCTAGAGGAAAAAGTTCTGATGTAGTCAAGATGTATTCATATGTTTACTACGTTGGGGGATTAATAATAATAATAATAATAATGTTAAAGTAATAATAATAATAATAATAATAATAATATAAAAGATGGTAATCATCTAGAGGAAAAGTTCTGATGTGATCAAGATGTCTTCATACGTTTACTACGTTGGGGATTTATAATAATAATAATTATAATGTTAAAGTAATAATAATAATAATGTTAAAATAATAATCATAATAAAAATATGGTAATCATCTAGAGGAAAAGTTTTGTTGTGGTCCAAGATGTCTTCATACATTTACTACAATGGGGATTTATAATAATAATAATGTTAAAGTATTAATAATAATAATAATAATTTAAAATATGGTAATCATCTACAGGAAAAGTTCTGATTCAGTCAAGATGTCTTCATACATTTACTATGTTGGGGGATTAATACTACTACTACTACTACTAATAATAATAATATTAAAGTAATATAATAATATGTAATAATAATATTATAATATAATAATATATGTAATAATAATAATAATATAAAATATGGTAATCATTTACTATGTTAGGGGATTAATACTACTACTAATAATAATAATGTTAAAGTAATATAATAATATGTAATAATAATATAATATAGTAATAATAATATGTAATAATAATAATATAAAATATGGTAATCATCTAGAGGAAAAGTTCTGATGCAGTCAAGATGTCTACATACATTTACTATGTTGGGGGATTAATACTACTACTACTACTACTACTACTAATAATAATAATAAAGTAATATAATAATATGTAATAATATTATTATAATATAATAATATATGTAATAATAATATAAAATATGGTAATCATTTACTATGTTAGGGGATTAATACTACTACTACTAATAATAATAATGTTAAAGTAATATAATAATATGTAATAATAATAATATAATACAATAATAATATAATAATAATATGTAATAATAATAACATAAAATATGGTAATCATCTAGAGGAAAAGTTCTGATGCAGTCAAGATGTCTTCATACATTTACTATGTTGGGGGATTAATACTACTACTACTACTACTACTACTAATAATAATGTTAAAGTAATATAATAATATGTAATAATAATGATAATATAATAATATAATAATATATATAATAATAATATAAAATAGGGTAATCATTTACTATGTTGGGGGATTAATACTACTACTACTACTACTACTACTAATAGTAATGTTAAAGTAGTATAATAATATGTAATAATAATAATAATAATATGATAATAATATGTAATAATAATAATATAAAATATAGTAATCATCTGGAGGAAAAATTCTGATGTGGTCAAGATGGCTTCATACGTTTACTACATTGGGGATTAATAATAATAATAATAATAATAATGTTAAAGTAATAATAATAACCATCATAATAATATTAAATATGGAAATCATCTAGAGGAAAAGTTGTGATGTGGTCAAGATGTCTTCATACATTTACTATATTGGGGATTAATAATAATAATAATGTTAAAGTAATAATAATAATAATAATCATCATCATATTAAATATGGAAATCATCTAGAGGAAAAGTTCTGATGTGGTTAAGATGTCTTCATACATTTACTACATTGGGGGATTAATAATAATAATAATAATAATAATGTTAAAGTAATAATAATAATATGTAATAATAATAATAATATAAAATATGGTAATCATCTAGAGGAAAAAGTTCTGATGTAGTCAAGATGTATTCATACGTTTACTACATTGGGGGATTAATAATAATAATAATAATAATGTTAAAGTAATAATAATAATAATAATAATAATATAAAAGATGGTAATCATCTAGAGGAAAAGTTCTGATGTAGTCAAGATGTATTCATACATTTACTACATTGGGGGATTAATAATAATAATAATAATAATAATAATGTTAAAGTAATAATAATAATAATAATAATAATATAAAAGATGGTAATCATCTAGAGGAAAAGTTCTGATGCAGTCAAGATGTCCTCATACATTTACTATGTTGGGGTATTAATAATAATAATAATGATAATAATAATAATAATGTTAAAGTAATAATAATAATAATATAAAAATGGTAATCATCTAGAGGAAAAGTTATGATGCAGTCAAGATGTCTTCATACATTTACTATATTGGAGATTAATAATAATAATAATAATAATGTTAAAGTAATATAATAATATGTAATAATAATAATAATATAAAATATGGTAATCATCTAGAAGAAAAGTTCTGATGTGGTCAAGATGTCTTCATATATTTACTATGTTGGGGGATTAATAATAATAATAATAATAATGTTAAAGTATTATTAATAATAATGTTATAATAATAATAATAATAATAATAATAATAATAATATAAAAATGGTAATCATCTAGAGGAAAAGTTCTGATGCAGTCAAGATGTCTTCATACATTTACTATATTGGAGATTAATAATAATAATAATAATAATAATGTTAAAGTAATAATAATAATATAAAATATGGTAATCATCTAGAGGAAAAGTTCTGATTCGGTCAATTTTGCTGCTCTGCCTACTTATATTCTTCAATAAACTGCTTGCTGATTTTACCAAGCTGGTGTGGTGTTTAAGGACAGAGGTATTCCAGCTCTGGTGCACAACAGTATTAAACGTATAACGACATCCTAACCACATCAGAACATTTCCTCTAGATATTTTAGTTTATTTATTTATTTATTTGCAGTATTTATATTCTACCCATCTCACCCCACAGGCGACTCAGGGCGGATTACAATGCACAATACAGAAAAATAAAATATTTTGGATTGTTATTTTCGGCTGCTCTTCTCCAGTCATTCCAAATGGCAAATGCCTCCTTTATGAATATTGTTGCCTTGCACTTTAATTGCTGAAATAATTTTTTGCCTTTGTGTTGTTTTGCATCGCCAGCTGCTGCTCCAAGAGGACTGAAATGCACAGGATTGTTTTCCAACTGAGAAGCGGCGCCGAGTAACACACCGGAGAGGTTTGCAGTCTCATTTTGGATCCTTGGAGAAAAGGTGCTGAAGGGGATGATGGAGTGACCTCTTGACCGCTGGCCAGCCATGGCGGCTGGGTCCTCCTTGCCCATGGCGGAGTGGCTCCGAGCCCTCCATTTGGAGCAGTATGTGGACAACTTCGAGAGGAGCGACTTGCGATGCGTTTCGGATTGCCAGCGCCTGACGGACGAGGACTTGACTCAGTTGGGGATCTTGCTGCCTGGTCACCGCAAGCGCATCCTCTCCGGCCTCCTCAAGGCCTTCGCGGAGTCTCTGCCCTCTTTGGAAGGACCCCAGCTGCCCCCCAGGAGGCCCGTGCCCATGAAGCGCAACATCTTCCGCGGCTCTTGCGTCCCTGCGCCCAGCTCATCCAAGGCGACCTCTCCTTCCTGCCCGGACCCCCCTCCAATCCCTCCGAGGACCACCTGCCACCCGCCGGTCAAGTTCTCCTCCCCACCAGCCCTCTCTGAATCCCCTCCTTCCGTGCCGTCCTTCGAGTCGGGAGCTCTGATGGACTTCTCGGCCCCTTTGGCCACTCCGCCGGATACGGGAATGGTCACCCCTGTGGTCACCGTGTTTCCGGACCCAGCGGGCAAAGCTATCGTCTTACCACCTTTGCCAGCCAAGAGGCACCACTTGGAGGGAAAGGCTCCTCCGCTGCCCAGTAGGCCCCCAACGCTGCCCCCAAGAGCCGGGCAGCAGAAGGCAACCGGCGGGTAAGTGTGACCACTTCTTCTTGGTGGGAGAAGCCCTCTCAGGCCTGTGTCCAGGCAGTCGCCAAGCTGCGGACAAGGCAGGTTCCATAGGTTTGTTCTTAAGTTAGGTTTGAATGTAAGTCAGAACTGGGACATTTTCTAAAGTGTCACTCCAGCCATATCCATCCATCCATCCATTTATCTATCTATCTATCTATCTAGCTATCTAGCTATCTAGCTATCTAGCTATCTAGCTATCTAGCTATCTAGTTATGTAGGTAAAGGTAAAGGTAAAGGTACATATCTATCCATCTATCTATCTATCTATCTATCTATCTATCTATCTATCTATCTAGGTAAAGGTAAAGGTAAAGGTAAAGGTCCATATCTATCTATCTATCTATCTATCTATCTATCTATCTATCTATGTAGGTAAAGGTAAAGGTAAAGGTAAAGGTAAAGGTCTCTATCTATCTATCTATCTATCTATCTATCTATGTAGGTAAAGGTAAAGGTCCATATCTATCTATCTATTTATCTATCTAGGTAAAGGTAAAGGTAAAGGTCCATATCTATCTATCTATCTATCTATCTATCTAGGTAAAGGTAAAGGTAAAGGTCTCTATCTATCTATCTATGTAGGTAATGGTAAAGGTAAAGGTAAAGGTCCATATCTATCTATCTCTCTATCTATCTATCTATCTATCTATCTATCTATGTAGGTAAAGGTAAAGGTAAAGGTAAAGGTAAAGGTAAAGGTAAAGGTAAAGGTAAAGGTCCATATCTATCTATCTATCTATCTATCTATCTATCTATCTATCTATGTAGGTAAAGGTAAAGGTAAAGGTCCATATCTATCTATCTATCTATCTATCTATCTATCTATCTATCTATGTAGGTAAAGGTAAAGGTAAAGGTAAAGGTAAAGGTAAAGGTAAAGGTAAAGGTAAAGGTCCATATCTATCTATCTATCTATCTAGGCAAAGGTAAAGGTAAAGGTTTAGGTTTTCCCTGACATTAAGTGCAATTGTGTCCGACTCTCGGGTTGGTACTCATCTCCATTTCTAAGCCGAAGAGCCAGCATTGTCCATAGACACCTCCAAGGTCATGTGGCCAGCATGACTGCATGGAGCACCATTACCTTCCCACAGAAGTAGTACCTATTGATCTACTCACATTTGCATATTTTCAAACTGCTAGATTGGCAGAAGCTGGGCCTAAGAGCAGGTGCTCACCCTGCTTCCTGGATTCGAACCTGCGACCTTTTGGTCAGTAAGTTCAGCAGCTCAGCGGTTTAACCCACTGCGCCACTAGGGGCTCCATACACACACATACACACACACATGCATGTTCTCCCGCAGTGAGGACATCGGTTTCCAGGTGGAAGGCGGTCCCGGTCAGGGTTGGCTTGACACGCCTTCTTCCTCTTGGCACGTTTCTCCCTTTAGCCCTCCATTAGTGCCTCTTTGAATTCTGCAGCACTGCTGGTCACAGCTGACCTCCAGCTGGAGCACTCAAGGGCCAGGGCTATGCTGTTCAGAGGATTTCCATCACCTTCCCTCCTTGTGAGAATTCAATTTTTGGAAAAGTTGGCTTGCTTTAGAAACAAGGTTTGGGGATCAAGCATCATCGGAGACCTCTTTCCTCCCATGATAATAACTCTTCCAGGGGTGGATTTCCCTGGAAGAGTTACACTCTTCCAGGGGAAGGTTACACTCACTTCCTGTTGTTTCATTCTCGTTCTTAACTAGGAGTCATTTGCAAGTTGGATGTTTGTAACTCGGGGATGGCTGGTATTCTGCACATTTCTAGTGCAATTCTGCCATCTAGTGCTGGAATTATTCCAGTGCAGACTTTGCCTTGGAAAAGAAGATGTTGTTGTTGTTGTTGTGTTGTCCTTGGCTTCTTTCATGGAATCTCTTTTTTTTTTTAATTTACTAGCTTGGGGACCTGGCACTGCCCGGATTATTATAGAAAGTGGGTAATGGTGGTTCTGTATGTCAAGTTTGGTCTTTATTGGTCATTGGATGACAGTTGCATTGTTTTCAGGAAGTGAGTGAAGGTACTTGAAGTCCCATCATCCATGATCCACCCTTCTCCAAACTGCAGCAGGATGTAGAGTGGGTCATGGGGCCTCTGTGTGGCAAGTGTGGTCTTGATCCATCATTGATGAGGGTCACAGTGGTTTCAGTAAGTGAGTCAAGGTACTGGAAGTCCCATCATCCATCGTCCGTCCTCCTCCAAACAGCACCAGGACATAGAGTAGCTCATGGGGGCTCTGTGTGCCAAGTCTGATCTTGATTGGTCATTAGATGAGGGTTGCAGCAGTCTTGGGAAGTGAGTGGAGGTACTTGAAGTCTCATCATCCATGGGGATTTTTTAAAATCTTCAGAGAGAGGTAATGTGGAAGAAATAAAATAATAAATATAATCATAATAATTGCTTAGAACAAAATTGGACATCTCATAGAATCATAGAATCATAGCGTTGGAAGAGACCTCCTGGGCTATCCAGCCCAACCCCATTCTGCCAAGAAGCAGGAATATTTAAAAGCTTCCAAAGAAGGAGCTTCCACCACACTCCGGGGCAGAGTGTCAGGGCTTCTCATGTTTGCCTGTCTGTGAAATGTACAAGTAACATCCTTTTTGGGGACTCCAATGTCCTCTTCTTCCATTTCTTTCTTTCTTTCTTTCTTTCTTTCTTTCTTTCTTTCTTTCTTTCTTTTTTCTTTCTTTCCTTCTTTCCTTCTTTCCTTCCTTCCTTCCTTCCTTCCTTCCTTCTTTCCTTCTTTCCTTCCTTCCTTCCTTCCTTCCTTCCTTCCTTCCTTCCTTCCTTCCCTCCCTCCCTCCCTCCCTCCCTCCCTCCCTCCTTCCTTCCTTCCTTCCTTCCTTCCCTCCTTCCTTCCTTCTTTCTTCCTCCTTCCTTCCTTCCTTCCTTCCTTCCTTCCTTCCTTCCTTCCTTCTTCCTTCCCTTCCATTCTTTTTTCTTTCCTCCTTCCTTCCCTCCTTCCTTCCTTCCTTCCTTCCTTCCTTCCTTCCTTCCTTCCTTTCTTGGAACCCTGGGAATTTCTTCTGACTCTAGGATTCTAGCTATAGTTTTTTTAAGGCAGGTGTCCTCAAACTTTTTTTAACTTTTCAAACAGAGGGCCAGGCCACAGTCTCTCAAACTGTTGGAGGGCTGGATTATAATTTGGAAAAAGCATGAATGAATTCCTATGCACACTGCACATATCTTATCTGTAGTGCAAAAGACATTTAAAAACAATACAATAATTAAAATGAAGAACAATTTTAACAAATATAAACTTATTAGTATTTCAATGGGAAGTGTGGGCCTGCTTTTGGCTGATGAGATAGGATTGTTGTTGTTGTTGTTGTTGTGTGCTTTCAAGCCATTACAGACTTAGGTTGACCCTAAGCAAGGGCCGGGTAAATGACCTTGGAGGGCCACATTCGGCCCCTGGGCCTTAGTTTGAGGACTCCTGGTCTAAGGGAACTTGGATTTGCAAAGTGTCGGGGCTTCTCATTTTTGCCTGTCGGTGCAATGTACAAGTAACATCCTTTTTGGGGATTCCAACGTCCTATTCTTTCCCTCCCTCCCTCCCTCCCTCCCTCCCTCCCTCCCTCCCCCCTCCCTCCCTCCCTCCCTCCCTCCCTCCCTCCTTCCTTCCTTTCTTCCTTTCTTCCTTTCTTTCCTTCTTTCTTTCTTTCTTTCTTTCTTTCTTTCTTTCTTTCTTTCTTTCTTTCTTTCTTTTCTTCTTTCTTTCTTTCTCTTTTCTTTCTTTCTTTCTTTCTTTCTTTCTTTCTTTCTTGGAACCCTGGGAATTTCTTCTGACTCTAGGATTCTAGCTCTACAGTCTAAGGCAGTGGTTCTCAACCTGGGGTCCCCAGATGTTTTTGGCCTTCAACTCCCAGAAATCCTAACAGCTGGTAAACTGGCTGGGATTTCTGGGAGTTGTAGGCCAGAAACATCTGGGGACCCAAGGTTGAGAACCACTGGTCTAAGGGAACTTGGATCTGCAAAGTGTTGGGGCTTCTCATGTTTTCCTGTCTGTGCAATGTACAGCTATCAACCTTTTGGGGGGACTCCGAAGTCTGTCCTTCCTTCCTTCCTTCCTTCCTTCCTTCATTCATTCCTTAGAATCATAGAATCAAAGAGTTGGAAGAGACCTCCTGGGCCATCCAGTCCAACCCATTCTGCCAAGAAGCAGGAATATTGCATTCAAAGCACCCCTGACAGATGGCCATCCAGCCTCTGTTTAAAAGCTTCCAAAGAAGGAGCCTCCACCACACTCCGGGGCAGAGAGTTCCACTGCTGAACGGCTCTCACAGTCAGGAAGTTCTTCCTCATGTTCAGATGGAAACTCCTTTCTTGTAGTTTGAAGCTATTGTTCCATTGCGTCCTAGTCTCCAGGGAAGCAGAAAACAAGCTTGCTCCCTCCTCCCCCCTGTGGCTTCCTCTCACATATTTATACATGCAGGCATGTAGCCGGGGGGGGGGGGGGGGGGCTCCAGCCCCCCCCCCCCCAAATTCTCATGGTGGTCCGCGAGAAGGCCTTACTGGTACATTATTTAAACTGTTATGTTTATTCATATCATGATCTGATCACCATGCTCAATATATCCCATATGCATGGGGGTATTGGGGTAACGATACAAAAGGTTTGCTAGGGTAGACCCTCTTTCACTCAGACTCAGCCCCCCCCCCCAAAACAAACTCAGCCCCCCTCCCCCCGAATCGAAATCCTGGCTACGGGCCTGTATACATGGCTATCATATCTCCTTTCAGCCTTCTCTTCTTCAGGCTAAACATGCCCAGCTCTTTAAGTCGCTCCTCATAGGGCTTGTTCTCCAGACCCAGTTTACCAGCTTGCTTGCTTGCTTGCTTGCTTGATTTCTTTCTTTCTTTCTTTCTTCCTTTATAGGAACACTTATCACACCCTGTGCCAATCCGACATCATGTGCCAGGAGGAAGTTCTGTTAGGCCCCAATGGATTGTGGGCATCTGTTTTTCCTTTTTTTGGCT